CCCTTTCCTGACCAGGGACTGGGGGTCAGTCAGGGTGGGTTCTTGTATCCACCAGAAGCTGCTAGTGTGCTTAGTGGAAAGGAAGGTGGGGTGGCCAGGCTCCTAGAGATGGGTTCAAGTCCTGTCTCTACAGGGACCTACCATGTGACCTGGGGCTGTTCACGTCCCCTCTCTGTTTTAGTCTTCTTGTCTTCCAAAAGAGAATGTTGCATTAGGTGTTTTCCTCCCTTTTGCTTCCCGCAGTCTCTGGTCCTATAGTTGGTCAAGGCACTTTTGTTAATAAGGATCAACCTAATAATAAAATATCAAAGGCTGTTACTGAGAGAAGCATTCTTCTGGCTCTACTTCCCATTCTCTGTTCCTGTCCTTGAACGTGTCCAGGATGGGTCTTTGCCCATGAGGTCTGTCCACTGATGTGCTGGACACATATCTTACATTCCTGCATATGCCAGCCTGTTAGACTACACAACGACAAAGCCTCACACCAGTGTGACAGGTGGACATTGTTTTCTTCCTTCTTGTGGAAGAAGAAGCTACAGATCAGAGAGGTTAAACGATGTGTTCAAGTTTTTAGCTCAAGCAAAGTTGTGCCCAGAATGGCCAACTCCAAATCCCTGCCTGTCAGATGTTGACACATGAACCATCTTTCCCCACCCCACCTGCACCCTCCACCAAGCCTGTGAATTCCAGGACTTGGGCCACCAGCTCCACCCTACCCTAGGGAAGTGTCTTTTTTAAATTTTGCAGTGGGGATGGAGTGATTCCTGAGCATGCTCTCAGCTCCGCTCAGGCATTGTGACCTCTGAGGCTGGGAGCTCTGGGGATGTGCCCAGTTGCAGAGTGCCCTATCCTCAGGCTGCATCCACACATCAGGATGAGAACTGAAAATTCAGATGGGACAACTTTTTGGAGGCAACCATACAAGGAGCTCTAAATAGGTTTGCTGGGGTGGCATTTTCCCCAGTATATTGCTGGAGATCTTGTTCCTGGTCTTTGAGACTAAGAGCGGAAGAAGCCCAGGCTTCGAGGAGTGAATGAGCAGTGAGGTGGTCCTGGTTGCTTCAGCCTCAGTTTCCATATCATCACTGAAATCCTGGCTTGGATCTGAGACTCTAGGGTCTTTCCAAGATGTTTTGAGCCAGTGCGGGAGGAAGGGAGAGATTATGCACCTCCTCACCCCTCCATCTCCTCTGTGTGGCAGTGTTGTAAATGGGGTTTGCAAAATTGAGAAGCATTGTATTTAGGGGAGTGGGCATTGGTGGGGGAAAGGAGAGAGGGGAGTTAAAGGGTAATTGTTGCTTGAATGGCAGGAGGAAATGACAGTCAGTTCTCCCTTCCTCATCTCTGTCAAGAACAGCCTACAACAAGACTCCTCCATTGGGGTTTGGAATCACAGATGGGAACAGGTACTGCTTTTGGATGACCTAGGGGTGAAAGAGGACAGCTTGGTCAGCAGATGCCCTTCTTGGAAGCTGTATTTTGGAGATTAGGGTAGCAATGCTCAAACAACATCTAAACACCCAGGGCTGGGAGAGCTGGGCTGCCTCTGTCAGAGGGGTGTGGGTTACTGGGAACATCCCCCCCTCTTTGGGGTGAGTCTTTGCCCCATCTTCTTCTCTGAAGCCCAAGGGACCTTGGTCCACTTCACAGGTCTGTCTGTCTGTCTCCTGCTTGGTCTTCCTGCTTGTCCTTTCTTCTCTGTGCCCTGCCTCTTTCTTGGTGTCTCTGCCCCTCCCACTTTCCTCTCATTTTCTCCCTCCCCTATCGATCTCCCGACCTCTGCATTAGCATTCACAACCTCAGGCACCAGCCACTTAGGCCAGAAAGACAGCTCCTTGGAAACACAATTGAAATATTTTTATAAATGACCAGCGGAGTTTGAGTGACATGCCCTTCTTCGGCTAAATAAACTTAAACTTAAACCTTCTAAAAAATACATGAGCCAAACATCCTCTGCACATTTCATTATGCAAATGCAGCTGTCCTGGCGCTGCACAAATTAGCCCTCCTTTTGGAATTCGCTGCTGCTTCTTCCTTTCCCTTTGCGTTCCTCTTTTTTTTCTCTTCTTTCTTTCCTCTCTTTGGGCTTTGAGGGAAAGGCTTTATGATTTTAGGCCGACAGCTGGAGTCTGGGGGGTGGGAAGACCAGAGAACTTCTGATTTCTTCTTTGTCCCGTTCTTCCCTCTCTTTTGGGGGAACGCGGCGAGAGAACAATGAACGCTGGAGGAGGCCTCCGCCTTTCCGTCTCCCAGCTGCTTTGCAGGGTCTGGCCGGGAGAGGTCAGTCTGGGGCTGGGAATGGGGCTCTGGGGAGTGGGGGCTCTTGGATCCCTCAGTCTGGGGTTTTGGCTGTCAGGGACCCTGAGGGATGGAAAGACTGACTGATACTCCCCTCTCCCGCCCAGGTCCAGGCTCTCCTTTCCCAGGGCCTCAGGGAGGAGGGCGGGGCCACCCGGCTACCCTGGGGCTTTTTACCTGCCCAAGGCCAGTTGCCTAGTCTGGAAGAGAGGACCGTAGCCCTTACACCCGACCCTGAGCAGGCGCTGCTCCAGAGGGAGATGCCACCAGGAGAGTAACTTATTTGTCCTGTCCCCAGAAGGAGAAATACATCAGGAAAGGGTACAAAATCAGGTATACGAAGGTGTGAATTTTCTCCTAGAATCTCAGAGTTTGGATGTGTCCTACAGAGTTTCTGGTTTCCTTCTAAGGTATAGGGACTGAGATCAAAATGGACATGGTGTCCTGGCCTAGGCCCTGGGGGCCTAATTAGAACAGGCCCCGGGTTCTAAGCTCTCTTCGTTGATTGGGGCTGCTATAACATAATATATTTCTCTCAGTTTGGGAGGTTCAAGATACAGGAAACAGACTTACGTCAGTATGGCGGTGTTTGTATGTTTTTTTGGTCTGTTTCCTACTTTTCTTTTCCTCAATTCTGTTTTTAATGTTTATTCATGTTGTTAAATACAACTATTCCACTACTGCTGGCTGTTATCTAGCGCTTCTCTCTAAGCATCCACCAAATATTCCAAATATTCATGGGCTGCCTCATGTTCCTTGCCGTGATAGACAGTTTCTAACAAGTCATCTGGTGGGTCTTGGTGGAAGTTTGTCTGATGTGTGAGCCCAGAGAGACCTGTTCAGTTTCACTCAGAACTGCTCGGGGCTCTGGAGGTCAGCTTTGTCAGGGGACTGCCCCTCAGTGTGCCTGTGGGTTTTTGTCTCCCTCACCTTTTCCTACACTTAGTGTCCTCTGGCTTTCTAATGGGGCCAGGCAGAGGGGCGTAAAGGCATTCTTCACTGTTCTCTGCATTTCTGAGTATTATGTGATCATGTACCTTTTCACCTGCTTGTGTGGGGAAGGACTCGTTAAAATTTCACCTTACATGAATTGCCTATTCATACTTGTTTGCCCTTTCTCATTTGTGTTTTGCTTGTTGATTTGGAGGAGTTCCTAACGTGTGTTGGCTTGACATAGTCTTTTAGTTGTTGCAGTATTTTCTCTTCTTTGGTCACCTGCCCATTAACTCTTTGGTGTCCTTCTGTTAGCAGAAATCCTCAATTATATTCTGGTCAAATATATCATTTCTTTTTTGCCTTATAGTTTGTGCCTTTTGGGGTCTTATTAAAGAAATCTTCCCATACCAAGGTCAAAGTGATATACTTTCTACCTTTCTCCTATTAGTTTTATAGTTTTACATATCACATTTTAGGACCTTAATCTTCTGGGTTAGTTCAAGTTTTTATATAGTGCAGGGTGGGGGATTTAGCTCAGTGGTTTCACCGCCTGCTGCGCAGGTGCAAGGAACCAAGTTCGATGCCTGGTACCAAAAAAAAAAGTTTTTATATAGTGCAAGGAGAAATTTGAGGTTTTTTAAAAAAAATTGTATGATAAATTGATCTTCTCAACATTACTCACTGAGGAAACCATCTTTTTTGCCAGTGTTTTATGATTTCGTCTATATTGTTTACCCAGTCTAAATATATACACACTTAATTAATTAATTGGTACAGTACTGGGGATTTAATGCAGGGCCTTCACAATGAGCTACATCTCCAGACCTTTTTTATTTTTTTATTTTGAAGCAGGACATCTGTAAGTTGCTAAGTTGCCCAGGCTGCACTCAAACTTGCAATCCTCCTGCTTCAGTCTCCCAGAGTGCTGGGATTTTAGGCTTGCATCACCATGTCCGGGACATATCTGTTTTATATACATGGTATGATAAAAAATATGGTAAATATTCAAATTTAAAAAAAATTATTATAGTAAGGATTGTAAAAAGTGGGTGTTTTTATTTGACAGAAATTGTCATAAACATCTGGTCAATGAGAAGTGATCATAAAATTTAGCAAATATTTAGATTAAAAATTTTATTCCAGTAAAAGACACATTGCCGTAAATCCTCTCCAGAATACTCAAAATACTTGCCCTTACTTTGAACGCACTTATCCCATCATCCTTGCCAAGTTCTGAAGCAGCTCTTGAAGTCCTCTTTTGTGAGTGTCTTTAGTTGTACTATGGTGGCTGCCTTGATACCTTAATCAATTCAAAACATTTACCTTTGTGGTCATTTACACTTTAGGGAAGAGCCAGAAATTGACCTGTGCCAGACCTGGTGAATACGGTGAATGTTTTTATTTGACAGAAATTGTCATAAACATTTGATCAGTGAGAAGTGATCATAAAATACAATGAATGTTTCAATTTTAAAATTTATTATAGTAAAAGATGCATTACCATTAATCCTCTTGAAAATACTTTCTCTCAGTTAGAACACACTTATCCTGTCATTCTTAGCAATGTGTCTTTTGCTATAATAAGCTTTTCGTTAAATATTTACTGTATCTTTTGACTATCAGTTGTGCATTTATTTTTCTTGGATTCTCTCATCTGTTCCATTGGTTTGTCAGTGCTATGTCAGTCTTAGAATTTTCTTTTTTAAAAAAATATTGTGGTCTTCATTAGGATTGTTTACAAATAGTCTCATCTTTTTCTCTTTCAGGAAAACAGAAGGATTGCAGTTCCCTGTCCACTTGGAGTTAGACTTGCCTCTGGGACTTAATTTGGACAATGAAATGTGAGTGCAAGTGACTTCTGTCACTTCTAAGAGGAAGCTTTCAGAGCCTGTCTGTAATTTACCACGTCCCTTCCCTGCAATGATAACCTGTACTGTTCCAGGTTGGGTTAGGATGCTGGCTGCCCAGATTCTAGAGAAGCAACAGAGCAGAGCCTTCAGGGACCCACAGTGGACAGGTAACAAGAGTAAACAATAACTTTGTTGTTTTGCACTTGGAGTTTTTTGTTTCTGCAGCAAAATCTAAGCCTATCCTGACCAAGACAGCTGCCATGGCTTATATGAATTCAAATAGCTGATAGGACATGTCCCTCCTCTTTACTCTTCTTTTGAAAATTATTTAGTTCTAGGTGGGTGTGGTGGTGTACACCCATAATCCTAGCACTCTGGGAGGCTGAGACAGGAGGAACACAAGTTCAAGACCACCCTGGTAATTTAGCAATTTATCAAAATGAGACCCTGTCTCAAAATTAAAAAGGGGGAGGCCTGAGGATGTACCTCAGTGTAAAGGCCCTTAGTTCAATCCCTAGTACTGCAAAACAAACAAACAAACAAACAAATAAACCAAAAACTTTGAGGCTTTTTTTCTTACCTTTTAGAATTTGTTGGTCAATCTTCTAAGATATTCCAGTTGAAAAAAATCCACTCACACAGGCAGTTTGGCACGATACTGTAATGTGTAGCAGAATGAGAAGGACTTTATATTGCTGAACTACAAAAGACTTAGTTTTCGCAATGAACATTACCTTTTAAAATACACATTTTGGGGCCACATCTCTAGATACTTCACTGGGCGCTCAACTCATTCCAACCTCTTGCTGCTCTTCTTTTTTATCTTTACCCCATGTTCTCTTCTTGGTTTTCATTTTCTCTCACACTTTCTTTTCTACCAATAACAACAAATTCCTCCTGAATCTTACACAGAGAGGCTTTTCCCCTCATCCCAAGTATTGGTGCCACTGTCACTCAGGCTTTTGGGGGACTCACCTTGTATTTCAAATTTGTCAAGAGAATCTTCCAAACAATGACAGTTCTCCCCTTAGAGGAATTCTGATGCCAGCTGTTAAGATAATACAAAACCATCCACTGTGTTACACATAAAAGAAGCTGAGGGAAAAGTTAGGTAGCTGAGGGTAGGGTGGGCACAGAGGAAGGAAGACATGCATTCAAATCACAGATCTTACATCATGAAAAGAAGAACCCATTTCACATGGATGAAGGTGCTGACTATAAACATTAAGTCATTGAAAAACAGAAGACAATGTCTGACCTCTGTCCCTAACCTTGAAATTAATGGTAGAAATCACACACACACACACACACACACACACACACACACGCACGAACTGACAGGCTTAACTTCATGAAAAACGTAAAACTACCAAATGTCCAATCAGTATAAGCAGAATTTAAGGGTAAGTTAATCAGCTTTCTGTAACTATAACAAATACCCATGATAAATCAACTTATTAGGAGGATAGATTGATTTTGTCTTATAGTTTAGAAGTTTTAGTTGGTGATTGCTTGGCTTTGTTGCTTTGGGGCTTGAGGCAGGACAGTATTCATAGCAGAAATGAGTAGTGGACAAAGGGGAAACCTCTTCAACTCATGGTAGCCAGAAAGCAGAGAGGAGGGGCTCCAGTCTCAATATCCCCTTCAAGGCCACGCCCCCATCTATCTAATAATTTCCTTCCACTAAGCCCCACCCCCTAAAGATTCTACCACCTCCCAATCGCGCCCTTAGGATGGGATCATAACATAGGGTAATCAGTGAACTTGGAGATGTATTTTTATACACATGACAGGAAAATGTTTATAACTTCAATAAATAAAATGTTAAATCAAGAAATCCAGGAGTACCCTTTTAGGTAATCACATGACTAGTCAATTCCCAAAGGCGAGAATTGAAATAACTAAATAATTGAAATAACTAAAAAGTTAATACAAAGAAAGATACTCAAATAGAACCTTTTGTTTGAGTTAACAAAGCTATGGGTCTTGATGAAATTGTGAGGTACATCAGTATCTGCTGCTTGCATTTGCCATTACTTTTAGAGAATAAATCTGAGAGATAATGTTGAGACTCATCATAAGAAACTTAAATATCCAGCTAGTCAGTAACAACCCCACAGAAGTTGTAGCAAATTATAGTCCCAATGGCGAAAAGAAAAGCCAGTTCTCTGTACCTTTTTTTTTTTTTTTTTTAATATGGCCAAGCTAACCAACATTTTTTATGGGTCTGGGTTTGAGATCAGAATGAGAAAGGTCTAACTGATTCCAACACTATATTTGTGAAATGCTGGCGCTTTTTCTAGAATTTTATGATTTGATTTTGTAAAACTGTAAATCTTAGTCTTCTTGAGTTGATTTTGTTATAAGGTGTGAGATAGGGATCTGACTTTACTTATTTTATTTTTTCCTTAGTTGGCTACTTGGTCATCTAAATGCCACTTATTAAAAATTTCTGTCTTCCACCCTTTTGAAACCAAATGTGAATGGGTCTTTTCTGTTTCACTGTTTTGTTCACCTGTGTTCATGTCGCATGCTAAGGTGATTTTAGTGTTGTAGCCTTGTCATCTTATAATACACAATGTCCTAATATCTGGTGAGACAAGTTCTGCTTCTATCTGTCATTACTCTTCTTCCTCAAATTTTTTTGGTAGAAATTCTTGTTTATTCATATAAAGAAGTTATTACTTATTTCAGAATTATCTTTTAAAGATCTTCTCCAAAACTACTCAAGCAACAAAAACAAATACAATTAAAAGGACAAATCATAACTTTTGTGCTTAGGAGGCAAGATTACACCAAATCTATATATTAACATAAGGTGAATTTAACATATTTTTGGTGCTTAATCTTCACATAGTGTCTTTAGTTTTTTTGATTCCCAGATCAGCTGTGTTTCTTGGTTTAATTTTATGTATTTTATCTTCTTTGTGGCTGTTCTAAACATATCCTTTTCTTTTATTATATTTTCCAAGTGGTTATATGTATAAATATTTTGACATGTTAATTTTATAACCAGCCAACTTAATAAACTTTTAAAGTTTATTATCTTGAATTTTTCAGGCAAATAATCATATCAACTGAAAAGGAGAAATATTTTTGTCTTCTTACATTTTCAAATTACTAGAACAATGTTAAATCATAACGGGAGTATTGTGTGTCCTGGTCTTGTTCCCAATTTCAGTGAGAACTCTCATAGTGTTTCCTCACTCTTGTGATTACTGTTTATACATGTCTTTATTATAATAAGGAAGTATCTCTCTATTGCTATTTTATAAGGGGCTGTGGAAAATCAAACATGGGTCCGAATTTTTCCATGGTTTATCTAGCATCTATTAGGATGATCTATGTGATTTTTCTTGTTTAACTTATTAGTATGGCGAATTACAAAATGACATTTTAATATTCAATCATTCTTAAATTCCTGGAGTAAATGTTATTTGACCATTTCTTGATGTACAACAAATTTTTTGTTGTAATACAGGCTCTATTATTTTATTTGTGCTTTATTACCTTTTGATATTAGTTATGTTATCTTCATAAAAATAATCAGAAGATTTTTTGTGTGTGTGTACTCTGAGGAAGCTTGCACAGCACAAGAATTACTTCTTTCTTAGAGCTTTCTTAGAATCCTTCCATACTCCTGTTTGGACTTGGTGCCTTTGGAGGGTGAAGGAATAGCACTTTGACAACTGCCCCTAGTTTTCTCTAGAAGCTGATATGTTAGATTGTCTAACTTTACTATGGTTGGCTTTCTCAATTTATATTTTCTTGCAAATTTGTCTCTGTATCTAGGCTTTCTAATTATTTTGTATAAAGATGAGCAAAGGAATGTCACATTGTGTTTTAATTTTTATCTGTTTCTATGGTTAGTTTCCCATTACAATTCTTTACTTAATGTATTTCTATTTTTTATCTTTGGCTTGACAAGGCTAGCTAATAGTTATCTATTTCATTAACTTTAAAATATATATGATTATACTTTGGATTTATACACTAATTATACAGTTCTTTAATTCTGCTTTTAAATAACCAGAGCCTTCTTCCTGCTTTTCATAAGCTTGAGTCTGTTGTCTATTTTTTAACTTTTTGAATTCAATACTTACTTATATTCATTCCCTTCATTTTTCCTTATTTTAATTTTAACTCTTATTTATTAGTGCATGTTTGTAACACAGAATAATGGTGTTCATTTTGGGGTATTGATACATGCACATAACATACCCTGATCATTTTCAATCTCTTTCCTCCCCAGTCATTTTTACTCTTTCGACACAGAGTCTGAGAGAAAACATTTTTATGAAGGCTATTTTAGAAGTATTTTCCAATTTCAGTTTTGATTTCCTCTTTGTCCCAAGGGCTGTTTAAGAGCAAGGATGAAAATTTCTGAGTGGAAAGGATTTTATTTCAAATTTCTAATTTTATTACATCATATTCTCAGAATATTGTTCATATAGTTTCTATTTTCTGCAGTATATTGAGGATTTCTTTGTAGCTTAAGATCTTCAGTGATTTAATTTTCAGTTTTGAGTTTATTGACCTGAATATATGTATGTTAGAAAAACTTTATGAATCAGATTTTTGCCCCTCTAGATATTTAGCTATTTTTATTTACTTCTGCCATGGACTGGGTGGTCAACTGTAATAATTGCTGACTTCTACTGTGCCTCTGTTTCTTCTTGTGTATCCTGTAGTTTTGCTTGAGGGATGCTGATGCAATGATATTTGAAGAATATTAGATGCTCATTGAAGGTGGTGCTCCTTACCATTATGAATTTCCCTTTTTCTAGTTGGGTGCTCTCTGCGGCTTCACTCCCTTCCCCAAAGACCAATCTTGTCAGCTGTGGTCCTTACTCTCTTTTTGCTTATGTTTTCATGTTATGTCTTTGCCCATTTGTTTGTTTTCAAACTAAGTAATTGTGCTTTAAAATACAGAAGAAATTTGAGCTTTATTTCATGATCCAGTCTGAGAGCAAATATTTTTAGTAGGTAAAATTCACATAAATCAATATGACAGACATATCTAGTCTTACTTTTAAGTCAAGTTTTGTGCTATACTTTCTGGTTTTATTGCTACTTCATTTTTTTTCAGTCTTTTACTCCATATGCTGTTTTATTTGGTTGAGTTTTATGTATGCATTTCTTCTAATAATTTGGAAGGCTTGGCA